GAACATCTGGCATTTTGAAAGATATACAAATTTTAGATTTAACCAATAGTCAAGAGGAAAAAAAAGCTTGTAGAAATCCATACATTATTTCGTCATTCATCTTTTACACGAGTTACTAATGAGACATAGTGTATGATATAACACTTCAAAATTAAAGTAATATTATTAAAGCTACGAAAATAAGTGACCCTAAGAAAATCATAAAAATACAAAACAAGAAAAGAAAATAGCTGTTGTCCATTACCTGTAAACCTAACACTGCCAAACCTGCCAAATCCCATCACGAAAATTGGTCCAATTTTTTTTATACAAGTACAAAAAAACATAAATCTCTTAAATAATTTACAGCTATAAATAATGGATACACATTATTAATATCTCCAGAAGAAAAAGAAAAAAACAAAATCATTACTTTATCCTCCTAAGAACAGCAACAAGACAACCTCCGGTTTCAGAATTCTGACCCATTACGAGATATTGTGGGCCACATGTTGAAAAGGTTCATTAAAATTTCACAAATAGTGAGAGGACTCAATTGATAGAATCATAAAATATGACTCTTTTGATAATATTATAACTAATAGAGTACCAAATCGCAAATAACAACAATATTCCAATAATTTAAAACATTACTCGTATCATCTTCATCTTCATGCTCAGCGATTTCTCTGTGCAAAAACAATCCAATAGAGAGAAACAAAAACCAAAAGAGACGCTTTTTGTCTTCTTCATTACAACTTATGGAGCAATCTCGAGTCTTGGCTCGAAGCAAAACCCAGTAAAGAGCTGAAGTGGGAATCTCTTAGTAACAGGACATTTCTGAGACCATTTCCAATACTTTAGATTCATATCAAATGTCAAAAGCGCGGGAGATCCATAGCTTTGAATGTAAACCAAATCATCGGTACCGCTACTCGCAAAAACATCGTCGAATTCGCCGAAACCTTGGAAGAATCTCTGAGGCATTCTTGCCATTTCTTCCCATTCTTTCCCTCCTTTCAATACCCAAATCCCAATCCCTTTTATGATATCGGGTCGATCGTGTTTTCCGATACCTCCAACAATCACGAGCCTCTCCTTTAGGTTCATCAATCTTCCGCAGGTTAAAGAACACGGCATTGGGATAAAACTCCTCATCAAGATTCCGCTAGACGATGATCTCATATCGGAAGCGATCAATCCGTGGCGATGATCAGAGCCTCCAGTTGAGTAAATCAAGAAGTATAGAACACCATCGCAGATCACGCTCTCGTTTCCTCCTCTCCATCCGGTTAAGACATCGGTTAAAGATGTTGTCCAAGTCATTGTTTCAGAGCTGTAGACATGAATAGAGAGATCCCATTGTATGAAATTCCCTGGAACTTGCTTCGATTTCACTATCGACACTGAATAACTCCGGTTTCCTCGGTTTCCTGCTCGGGTCGCTTGGTTTGCTCGGTTCACAGAGGTAGACATTGCAGTGTAATCTGTCGATTTGTGACCCGGTGGCTCGATAAGCCTCCTCCATTGTTTGGTAATCGGATTCGAGACATAAATCTTGTTTCTGCAGTCATTATCCATAAAACAAACCAATCCACAAGAGGAAGCAACAAACCAATTCGGTGTTTCGATACAAGGGAGATCAAAACTGTACCATTTCCGAATAATCGGATCGTAAGCATAACCCGAGGGATCATCAGAGCTCGTAAACATGAAATACCAAGGTCTTTGAGGAATCGAATTGTTCGAGAAACTCCACAAGAACCTTCGAGAAGACACAATCTCGTTCCATCTTTTGCAGACAGTACTAGCTCTAAAGATGCTTGCAATGGGGAGAAATGAGAGGATTCTTTCTAATAAATCGTCAGGAAGAAGCGAATCCATCGAAAAGGTATCGACTTTGGTCTCATCATCGCTCTGCTCAGAGTATGATACAACTTCAGGTACATAAGTAGTAATGTAGCTATACGGATAATTAGTCCAAGACGTTTCTGCTTCCATTCTCAATAACCACTGAAACAATAAAACACAAATACTAAGAAAGTTATAACCTTTTCACACACCAATTAGCAGAATCAAAGCTTACGAATCTGAATCCAATATTGTAAATTGCAGAACTGATTAGAGCCTCAATAAAAGTAACAACAATAGATCAAGACATAACCTTTTTTAAACCAGATTTGGATTATGAAACATGCATAAATCATAGTCAAATCTAAAATGCAGAAAGATAACCAAAATTAAGACTAAGTCTAATACTGCAATACATTTTTTTCAGACAGAAACATAAAAGAAATGAAAGGAGAAAGCTTGTGTCATCCTTTCAACGTCATACCCTAAAGTTAATACAAAAATTAGATGTTAGGTATAAAATTAGGCTATACTTATACATCAATCCAGCATCTGGTAACAACATACATCATAAATACCCAAAACCCATCATCAATCAGAGGATTACGAACACGGAACAGATCAATGAATTAAAGCAGAAAGAGACAGTGAAAAAATAAACAGAAACCCATCTCGATTCATTACATACCTTTGATTCGGGAAGCTCGTGGGTCTTTGAATCTTGAGAATTCTCGAGATTTAAACCGGAAAAGTGTCGGAATTTCAGGTTTAGATTTGCGACAGGAAATGCCGGTTTTGTGGATCCTGGTTTATTGAAAAAACCAAAAAGGTGAGATTTTTCCTAAAAATAGAAGATGGAAGTGAAATGGGTCACTGAGGAATTCGGATTTGTCGAAGAGTAAGAATGAGGAAAAGGGTTTCATCAAGAAAACGAGAGAGATTGAAAGAAATCTGGTTTTATAGAGAAGAGAGAGAGTTAGAAGAAGAGACGTTTCGGGTTCGATTATTAATATGAATGATAC